TCGACGTGGCTGATCCGGGTTTGACTCCGACCTGTAGTCCTTTGCCGCATGTCTCCCCCTCTCTCCTACCCCCCCTTTCCTGTCACCCAACTGTCCATTAAAATGAGCCACTAGTGCCGTAAACTTAAAAAAAAAAAAAATGTGATCACAATAAAATGGAGTTTGTGATTCTAAAGTTATAAAGAGTCAGATTTAGGGTGGGAATACTTTTTTTCAATCCACTGTCAAATCTTGTATTTCTTTTGCAGTTTTAATGATATCAAGTTAAAACAAACGGTGAGATGTTGTCACCTAGCAACGATCCTGTTGATCATATTGGTTTAGCTTTGTTCCCCCCATATAACCTCATATGGGGAAATAAAAACACTATATATGCCTCATTGATAAACATTTCTGTTCTTAATGATTAAAAGCAGATAAATATAAAAAAACTAAACAAAAGGCCCCTTAAGTAATTTTTCAGAATTTAAAATAAACTCTTCATGAATCACTTCCTTAAATTAATCGCTTTCACTGCAAAAAAATGTAAAATAAGTGCATTTTATCCTGATTTGACGAGATATATGAGACACTTTGCCAATGGAACAAGACAAATTACATTTGAAATAAGAAAAATCAATTGCTTTGTCTTATTTCAAGTGCATATTATCTAATTAACTTATTTTAAGTGTAAAAATACTCATCCCATTGGCAAACTATCTTATTTACCTGCTCAAATTAAGGGTAAATACACTTGATTCGAGAAATTTTTACTTAATTTTTTTGTTTTGGGGTTTGTTTGGGGGGGATTGTTTGGGGTTGTCAACATAGGATCTGAGATCTTCCAGCAGTGAAAAATGGAGATAAAACAGGGCTGGGTATTTTTCCTTTTTTATTTTGGAATTGAAAAATGGATGACGGCCATTTTTTTTGGTTCGCCAAATGGGATTTTTACCCAAAATAACAGAAATAGGCTCATTCTTTTGTTTTCTATATATCTATAGGTTCATTTTTGGATTTTCCATTACAAAACCAGAATCAAACACTAGAAAAACGATCTAGAAATAAGTAAAAATCTCCTAAATTAAGTGTATTTACCCTTAATTTGAGAAGGTAAATGTGATGGTTTCCCAATTGAATGAGTATTTTTACTCTTAAAATAAGATAATTAGATAATTTGCACTTGAAATAAGACAATAAATGTAAATTGTCTTGTTCCATTAGCAAAATGTCTCCTTTGCCTCCTCAATTTAAGAACAAATGCACTTAATTTAAGAAAAAAATGACTAATCTAGATTTCGATTTTTTTCCAGTGAATGGCTATCCAAGCTCCGCTCTACTGGCTCCACTGCTTAATTATCCCACCCCTTCAATAAATGCAGCTGCTGATGACCTATTTATATGTTTAAACTGACCTTTAAACAAATAAAGTCTCAAATAATTTAAAATAACTATTATTCTTTTCAATCAATGCTTGCTAACCTGTGAGTGTCTAATTTAATGTCTAATTTAATGCCAAAGCTTGACCTTGGTTTGTCTTGTCGTTATTCTCAGGGGGGAAAAAAATGGATGTTCGATTCACTCCCCTCCATGTTCTGACTCTCTGTGCCTCCTGCTCCGTCTCTCCAGAGACGCCATAGGAGCAGGGCACTCAGGGAGGCTCTGACACTGATCTGAAGAGGCAGAAAGCATGCTGGGATGCGGTCGTTTGGCTTGTAAACACACTTGGCTGCTCTTAGAGTGGAGGTCAGATAGAACAAGTAGCTCTGGAAGGACCTGGGGAAGACTTAAAAAATAAAGAGCGACTACTTCATCCCCCTGTGTCTATCTCCTCTCCTCTTCTCTCCGCTTCCCTCCTAACACTTCTCTACTCCACGCTTCTCTGCAGACAGCTGCCCTGAAGCGGGGGGAATCGCATCAGATCTCGGCTGAACGCTCTCCGGGGTGAGCGTGGTCTTAACAGGTGTTTTAAAAAGACAAACAGATGCATATTTGCACTGGTTTGGATGGCAGAGGGCAGCAAAGACGAGGCTCATGTCAGTCTGACAGCGGAGGAGGAGGAGGAGGCAGGGCAAGAGGACAGAGAGTGTTGTGACATTTGGAAGTCTAAAAAAGGGGAGACACTTGCTGCGCCGCAGAATTAAAACAGTGTGAAGTGAAGCAGACACAAGCTGCGACCATTGAGTCAAACTTTAGCTTTGTAGTGACACAGCGGGACAGAAAGCGCTTTGTGTATCCTCTCCCTGTGCGTTTTATGAGAGGAAAAAAACAAAAACAACTAAATGAAAGCTGAAAACATCCAGCATCCACCAACAACTCTGATCAGACACATGCAAAACGCTACAAATCAACAGAAGAGGCGACACAAACAAGTTAATCACAAACATTTCATAATCTATGAGAGATTCCATTGTGGTTAAAGCCACTTTGGTGCTTTTTAAAAACAAAACTCAACAATCTGAAACATGCAAGGTGCATCCTATCTGTATCCTGAGATGTCAGCCTGTCGGCTAAAAGAGGCCCATTATAAACAGAGTTACAAGAAAAAGAAATCACACCCTCCATCAAGCCTTAGGGTTTGGAGCATCAGGACAAAAGGCTAATTATTCAGCTATTGTTTTCTAAACTTGTTTGGATGTAACTCGACCTGCAGAAAAACTCACAACAGATTCCAACATGTCATTAGTTTCTTCAACCAGATACCTGATATTCCTCCTAAGGCATGTCAACGATGTTTTATCAATGCTTCACAAAACAAATGCACACTGAACACATAATTCAGTTGCTCTACAAGCGTCTAATCTCAGTTGGAGGCCTGGGAAATATGAGGGGAGAGGTGGCATTGCAGGAACTGTAAAGGTAACTTGTTAACGAAACCTAAACAGGAATCTTGTAGGTTAATGGGCTTTATAACACCTATAAGGTTGTATTTTGTAACTAATTGCCACTTTGTGCTCGATCAGTTGGAGTATCCTGCAACAAAATAAAGTCCGTGTGAGCTAAATTTCTCCAGGTTTCTCAGTCAAGTATGAATCAAAATTCTGTTTCTCTAAATACAAAAAACACTGAGCCTAATGACAGGGTTCCTACAGCATTAGGCGAGTTAAATTCAAGACTTTTTAAGACTTTTTAATGCCACTTGAAATAAAAATTTAAGACCAAATTCACAAGAAACACAAGAAAAACCTGCTTGCGACAACTTAACCCAAAGGTTTATTATAACATAAACCACTGCACCAATGTTTTACATTTTGAAAAGCTTCCCATACAGGAAGAAAGCTAAAAACACACAAATGACAGATAAATTTTAACAATTATTTAACTGAATTCACAAACTTTGCTTTAAAACTTTGTTTTAAAGCCTCAACATAACCAGTGCTAAGTCTTTTTTGCAGCTATTTTTCTTTGTATGGTTTTCTTAGTATGTTTGATTTGGTGATAAGTGGAGGCGTTGCAGAGACAAGGGTGGAACTAAACTCAGAAATACCGGCTGTTTCTCTGTAACTCCATTTTGACGCTTTGTGTTTCGTGCTTCGCATGTGCGACTCCACTGCCTTAATTCCCATCGTTCTGAGCTTGAATGACTTCTTGAACAAGATCCACTGAGCCTCATATATGTTCCCTGGTTTTAGCCATGGAGAAAACTCTTGGCTGGAGACAGTTTCCGTTACATTTACACTTGCTCATATTTTCCAGACAAAAAGTTAATGGTGCATCTCCCAAATGTCCCGGCCGCAACAACGCTTTTATTGGTTCCGCTATCGGGACGGAACCAATAATGGCAAGCCGTTATTTTTTTTTTATATTTATAAAAAAAATGAAAAAAATTGTCAATTTTAACGTTTTATTTAGATTACAAAAATAAACCGTAATAAAAATAATCCTATTTATAATGTTTTAAAAATTAAGACCTAAAAAAGACTGATTTAAGACATTTTAATACCAATTGAGGCCTTAGTTTTATTTTGAAGAATTCAATGCCTTTTAAGACTTTTTAAGGACCCGCGGGAACCCTGAATGACCCGTTTTCAAGTCATTTTACTCCTTAGCCTAAATACTTTGCTTCTGAGATAATTTCTAGTTTAACACGAGAATTACGACAGTTGTATTCTGTACCCTGAATGCATCTCTTTATTTTGGCTCTTAAAGCTCTTGAAATATCCTGCAACCCCATAAATCCTAACTAGGCTTTGCTTTACAAGCTCCTCAATGCACGGTTTTCACCGCCATACTTCTTTCTTCCACTCAACTTTCCACTGATAAATTCAAATACACAGAGTCTGGTTCTGCTGGAGGTTTTTTCCTGTTAAAAGGGAGTTTTTCCTCTCCACTGTCGCTACAAGCATGCTTAATGTGGGGGATTGCCTTCATGTCAATGAGTCGATGCAATCAACTGGTTTTCCTTAGATAGAAAACCCTTAAAATACTATATTTTTTTCTTTTTTTTTAGAAGGCACTTTTTGTTGTGTGGCTTTAAAACTGAATTGTTTTGTTCCCTGCTAAAACAAAGTTTGTGAATTCAGTTAAATAATTGTTAAAATATATCTGTCATTTGTGTGTTTTTAGCTTTCTTCCTGTATGGGCAGCTTTTCAAAATTTGAAACATTAGTGCAGTGGTTTATGTTAGAATAAACCTTTGGGTTAAGTTGTCGCAAGCAGGTTTTTCTTGTGTTTCTTGGTCTTAAATTTTTATTTCAAGTGGCATTAAAAAGTCTTGAATTTAACTTGCCTTAAGCTGTAGGAACCCTGTGTATGATCTGGTGAACTGGAAAGTACCTTCAGATGGAATGTGTTGTGAATCGGCGCTAAAGAAATAAACTGAAATACAGCTTAGCTTTCAGGTGGACAAATCTTTAAAATTATAAAAATAAACTCATGAAATATATTACTGTTTATGTAATGATCCAATATGATATAGTATATGGAAGTTTTTATTGACTTATTGGAATAAACGTTCCTTTGATGATATTTGTTTAGAGAGATCCACCTACAGCAGGAGGAGAGCTGATGTTTGTGCTCACCTCTCAGGTCCGGCCCAGAGCGACACGGCCCGCAGGTGGTGCTCTGCCTCGGCATGCGCAGCGAGGTGCGTAATGGAGTGTGCCTCTGATCATCCAGGTATGCCAGGTCCTCCAGGTGGGCTGAACTTGTAGCTGTTTTTGTGCACATGACCAGGAAAGGGGGAAGCCGCAGGAAGCATCAGAGGACAAAGACAGGAAAAACACACAAATGTCAGAACGTGTGTCAATAAACTCATACAATGTACACACACACACATAAGAGGGTGGCAAAGGTTTCAGAGAGAGACGTCTTTGGATCCAACTCCTTTAGGGAAGACGGAGTCGTCGCTTCACGCCTTAAACTCCCTCCTCTCCGTGTCTGTCACGCAGCACGGAGGCAGATGCCATGCGGCCCCTCTCAGGATTAATTAGCTTAGCAGACAAATGTCTTATTCATGGAGCGGGCGCTGTCTGACGCCGGCTGATGATTGTTTCACACCAACGCTGTCTCTCCAGGGCCGACACTGGGAGCCGCTGAATGCTGAATGAGATCAGCGGACGTGAGCAACCTGATTCGGTATCACACCTGAGCTGTGCAGTTCAGGCGGAGGTGAGAAAACACGAGACGCGAGCGCTGAAACGCAGGGATGACTCAGAGAATAATCTATGCACAGTTTGGTGCTGATGAGACTAATAATGATTTCCTTTTTATCTCTTCTACCCTTTTTATTCATTATTGTATTAATATAAAAAAACTAAAAATAAAAAACAATAGGAAAAGTAAAAGTTAAACATATTATGATGAAAAACTTTTGAGGGCAGAAAATCCTTCTTTGCTTTGGGGGAAAAAAAAAACATCTGGATTGAACACTGGAAAAAATCAAAATCTAGATAAGTCATTTCTTCTTAAATTGAGGAGATTAAAGAGATATTTTGCCAATGGAACAAGACAATTTAGATTTAAAATAAGAAAACACAATTGCATTGTCTTATTCCAATTGCATTTGATCTAATTATCTTATTTTAAGTGTAAAAATTGGCAAATTATCAAATTTATCTATTCAAATCAAGGGTAAATACACTTAATTTTACTTATTTCTAGATAATTTTTGCAGTGAAAACAAATTTTTAGACATAGTATAACTTCAATATTTTCAAGTCATGCCATAAGGTTCCTTTGAACTTCCCTGCTAATTTAATTGCTTTTGCATCTCACATCTGTCCCTTAAGTTTTGGTTTTTATGTTTAACAGCAGGAAAAACAGCTGCAAAAAAACCCAAATCAACTTTTTAACAACATTTTTCTCTTTTAAAAACTGCAAAAACGATCTAGAAATAAGTAAAAATTTCTTAAATTAAGTGTATTTACCCTTAATTTCAGTAGGTAAACAAGATGATCTGCCAATGAAATGAGTATTTTTACTCTTAAAATGAGATAATTAGTTAATATGCACTTGAAATAAAACAATGCAATTGTCTATTCTAATTTTAAATGTACAGGTGCTGGTCATAAAATTAGAATATCATGAAAAAGTAGATTGATTTCAGTAATTCCATTTATAAAGTGAAACTTGTATATTATATTCATACATTACATACAAACTCATATATTTCAGATGTTTATTTTGTTTAATTTTGATGATTACAAATGACAACAAATGAAAATCTCAAATTCATCATATCAGAAAATTAGAATATTGTGAAAAGGTTCAAAATTGATGGCCCCTGGTGCCACACTCTAATCAGCTAATTAACTCAAACCACCTGCAAAAGCCTTTAAATGGTCTTTCAGTCTAGTTCTATAGGCTACACAATCATGGGGAAGACTGCTGACTTGACAGTTGTCCAAAAGACGACCATCGACACCTTGCACAAGGAGGGCAAGACACAAAAGGTCATCGCTAAAGAGGCTGGCTGTTCACAGAGCTCAGTGTCCAAGCACATTAATAGAGAGGCGAAGGGAAGGAAAAGATGTGGTCGAAAAAAGTGTACAAGCAAGAGAGATAACCGCACCCTGGAGAGGATTGTGAAACAAAACCCCTTCAAAAATGTGGGGGAGATTCACAAAGAGTGGACTGCAGCTGGAGTGAGTGCTTCAAGAACCACCACACACAGACGTATGAAAGACATGGGTTTCTGCTGTCGCATTCCTTGTGTCAAGCCACTCTTGAACCACAGACAGCGTCAGAAGCGTCTTGCCTGGGCTAAAGAGAAACAGGACTGGACTGCTGGTGAGTGGTCCAAAGTCATGTTCTCTGATGAAAGTAAATTTTGCATTTCCTTTGGAAATCAAGGTCCCAGAGTCTGGAGGAAAAGAAGAGAGGCACTTCATCCACGTTGCTTGAAGTCCAGTGTAAAGTTTCCACAGTCAGTGATGGTTTGGGGTGCCATGTCATCTGCTGGTGTTGGTCCATTGTGTTTTCTGAGGTCCAGGGTCAACGCAGCCACATACCAGGAAGTTTTAGAGCACTTCATGCTTCCTGCAGCTGACCAACTTTTTGGAGATGCAGATTTCATTTTCCAACAGGACTTGGCACCTGCACACAGTGCCAAAGCTACCAGTACCTGGTTGAAGGACCATGGTATCCCTGTTCTTAATTGGCCAGCAAACTCTCCTGACCTTAACCCCATAGAAAATCTATGGGGTATTGTGAAGAAGAAGATGCAATACACCAGACCCAACAATTCAGAAGAGCTAAAAGCCACTATTAGAGCAACCTGGGCTATCATAACACCTGAGCAGTGCCACAGACTGATCGACTCCATGCCACGCCGCATTGCTGCAGTAATACAGGCCAAAGGAGGCCCAACTAAATACTGAGTGCTGTACATGCTCATACTTTTCATGTTCATACTTTTCAGTTGGCCAACATTTCTATAAATCCTTTGTTTTTATTGGTCTTCAGTAATATTCTAATTTTCTGATATGATGAATTTGAGATTTTCATTTGTTGTCATTTGTAATCATCAAAATTAAACAAAATAAACATCTGAAATATATGAGTTTGTATGTAATGTATGAATATAATATACAAGTTTCACTTTTTAAATGGAATTACTGAAATCAATCTACTTTTTCATGATATTCTAATTTTATGACCAGCACCTGTACATTGTCTTGTTCCATTTGCAAAATATCTCACTTACCTCCTCAATTCAAGACAAAATGCACTTATTTTAAGAAACAATGACTCATTAAGATTTTATTTTTTTGCAGTGTAGATTTGTTTTTCTGAATTAGCACCATACCTGAAATAGTGAGCTTTGAGAAGCTGCAGTGTCACTGGGAATCCATCAGTATTTATCTGTTGTCTCTCGCAGAAACAGAAAGCTAAAGCATTGGAGAAGGCCTCCTCTCACCTCAGATACTGCAACACTGATGCTAGTGCGACTAAAAAGTGGCTTAACATGTAACCTTAAAAAAGCACCAAGCATGCGGATGGTTGTACAAGTGTGTTTGCTGGGTGTCTGAGTCACCAGAGAGACAAATGTTACAAAGGAGCCACATTTGTTTCCCAAATAGAAGGGAAAATGGCAGCTGGGAATGTTGTTGTTGGAAGCTTAGCTCTGATGGGAATAGGGAAAGGGAGGGGAGGGGGGGTTACTGGTCGTGCAACTGGGCTAAAAGCAGAAAGTGTGGAGGCATTAATCTGCAATGAAACCCAGGAAGAATGACTCAGGGCTTCAGGGCTGGGAAGTCTCCCCCCCCCCCCTCTTCTTTCTCTCGTTTTCTTTCAACTGTCTGAATGTGAGAACGGAAATCTGTGTGCTCATCATTCCTATCTGCAATGCAGCAGGCTGCTGGGGATCGCATTCACAGCCGCTGTGCCAATGTGCTAAGGCTGCACGCAGAGAGGAAAGGAATAAAGAAGGAAGGCAGAGAACCGTGGAGTAAGCAGAAGAATAGAAGGTATCCATTAAAATCTGACCCAGTAGCTGAAAGCATTGGGCGACGATAGCCGAACAGCAGACACTTCCTGTTTAGAGGACTGACGGGGAGTCAGACTGTATGCATGCATGCATGCAGGTTTAAACCCGAAGCGCACAGACTGTATAAAACATGAGCTGGGATATCGACCAGCTCCGGTCACTGAAGCACAAGATGAGACAATAACTTGTTTTTAGCTACTAGTTCCTTAATGCCTCAATATTTTTATTTCATTTGAAAAAAAATGTTATCTTTTCCACATCTTTGTTATAAAATCCAAAATTCATTAGTTTATATTCTAAAACATTCTCCTGCCACTAAATATTTTAAAATATTTTTTAATTTCTGCATTTATTCAAACTGTTTACACTACAAAAACTTTCTAGAAATAAGTAAAATTTTCTCAAATTAAGTATATTTACCCTTGATTTGAGTATGTAAATGAGATAATTTGCCAATGGAATGAGTATTTTTATTCTTAAAATAAGATAATTAGATAATATGCAGTTGAAATAAGACAATGCAATTGTGTTTTCTTATTTTAAACCTAAATTGTCTTGTTCCATTGGCAATATGTCTCTTTTATCTCCTCAATTCAAGAACAAATGCACTTATTTTAAGAAAAAAGGACTTATCTAGATTTTGATTTTTTCCAGTGTAGATTAGATTAGATTAGATTAGATTAGATGACCTTTTTGGATCTCACAGCGGAGAAATTCACTCGTCACATATTGGCATAGAAGTTAAAGAAGGTGCAAACAAGGAGGAAAAAGGTGCATTAAGAATAAACAATAAACAATATATATACAGTATATCCAGGTATATACAGTATATCAAGATAAATAAGGATTAAGGTGCAAGTGTACCTGTATCGCACACAATGAAAAACAAAATAAAAATAAGAAATAAAAAAAATAAGGAATAAAAATATGTACAATCCGGATGGTTTATTATTTAGTATTAAGCATGCTTTTATTTATTGATAAAATCTGAAGGATAATTTAGATTAGTAGCTTCATATAAAAAAAAAAAAAAATCTTTGTTGCAATAAAACACAAGGTCCTTCCTGCCCGGTGATGAAGTTTTCATTTTCCTAATATGCAAATAGTCCAGTGGTACATCTACATAAAAAGAAATTATAGCAATGAGTTGGAAAATAGCCTCTATGAGAAAAGTGTCTGCAAAGGGTGAGAAGAAGTGTTTATGTGCAAACTAACATTAGCGTT